GGGACAGGACATTCCCTGGGATTGATCCTGCTCTGGACACACACGAGGTGTGATTCCATCGAGGCACAAACAGGATAAATGGGCTTGGAGCCTTTCACTGTAGGCCTCAAACACAGTGTATGCCAAATGAGGGCAGTTTGGGAGCTCAGTGCAGTCAGAGGCAAAGTCTGTGTGTCACCAAATCACCCTGGCCTGGCACGAGCCAGCTCCCACATCCAGCTCTGGCAGCTCTGCCCTTGTGGGGCTCCCACAGCTCTGAATCTGTGATCCTGGCACCCAGAGCTCCCCACTCACCATCTGTCCCCTCCAAGACACCCTGAACCACGGCCCGCACCCCACCAGGCCTCAGCAGCCTCTCGGAGAGCAGGTGCCCGCAGAGCCGCCGCAGCCAGGCCGGAGCTGCCCCGGCACGTGGAGATCTCTGCAAGGGAAAAAAGAGCAGGGTGAGGAGAGTATCTGCACACACCTGTGCCAACCCCTCCTCTGGGCAAACAGCACAGAGAGCACAGGACATGGACAGGCTTTGAATTGCTGCTTCATCCAGGAGCACAAAGAAAGTCAGGAATTAATGAGGGACATCAGCTCACAAGTGCTTAGTGTGTTATTCCATCTCAGGAAGTGCCCAAGGCCGACTGGATGGGGCGTGGAGAAACCAAGCCTAGTGGAARGTGTCCCTACCCATAGCAGGGGGTGGAATGAGATGAACTTTGACCTCCTTTTCAGCCCAAGCCATTCTGGRATTCCATGATTTTATTACRTGCATTATCCCATRGGGACTTCCCTAAAACAACACTCAAGAGATTCCCCATCCCCTCCTCCCCAGGATGCTTTGGAATGGCCCCAAAGAGCAGCAGGTGCTTTGTGCCATGCCCTGAGTGGGAAGGGCAAGGTTTAGCGGAGCAGATGTGGGTGCCAAGCCAAGGTGGCACGTGTGGCGATGACAGTCCCTGACACACCCACACCTCACCCGAACTGCAATGACACACAGCCAGCAGCCCCGCCAGCGGTCGGGGATTGGTGCTTAAGATGTAAGAACATTTCCAGAGCAGCGTTTCCAGAGTGTGGGAAGCACGGGGGTCCGGATCCCCGGTACCTGCTTGGGCTGTCCCTGCAGGACSAGCAGCTCCTGCACCGCCAGCGGTTGGTAAACACGGTCCAGGATATCCCGCAGGGCTTCCCGGCACCRTGCTCGCTCCGCTTCCGAAACTCCCTGGAACAAAACACACCGGGGCTGCTGACAWCAGCTCGGTCCCGACGGTGTGCCGGTGCCTGGCCGAGCTCCGTGTCCCCTGTCCCTTTCCTCACACCGGGAATGGCGGGCAGCACACCAAAGGGACTGGAGAGCGGGCTGGGACTCGGCTGGCCACCCACAGCAGCRCCGGGGAGTGGGGACACGGGSTRYGAGTGTGGCACGGACCTGGCAGAGSGCGGCGGGGCCGTGTCCCAGCACGCAGAGCCCGGCGAGCAGCAGCCGGAGGTGGCGGGCGAGCAKCGGGGCGCCCAGGGCCGGCAGCCGGGCCAGCTCGGCCAGCGCGCCCGCAGCGGCGAACAGCCGAGCCCCGCGGTTAGCGGGCGGTGTCCCGAGCCCCGGTCCCGGTCCGAGCCCCGGCGGCAGGTGCGGCAGCAGCCCCAGCCCCACGGCAGCGCGCAGCGCCCGCCGCACCGCCCGCTCCTGCCCCGCGCTCAGCGTGTCGGCGCCGGCCGGCGGCGGTGCCCCGGGAGCGGCGGGGGCGGCGGGGGCGGCAGCGAGAGCGGCCAGGCGCTCCTTGAGGCACAGCAGCAGCGCCAGCAGCCCGCAGGCCGCCGCCCAGCCCGGCTCCGCGCCCGCCACCCCGGCCGCCAGCGCGGGCTCCCGGGACAGCACGGCCGCTCGGAGCTGGCGCAGCGCGGCCCAGCCCGCCGCCCGCGACAGCAGCTCCTCCAGCGCCGCTGCGTTCCTGCGCAGCGTCTCCGGGCACAGGACGGGCTCCGGGCCGGGCTCTGCAGCGCTTTGGCCATCACCGGGCGGCCCCAGYAGCAGCTCCAGCGCCTCCACCACACGGCCCGGCTCCGGCTCCGCGTCTCCCGCCATGTTGGGGCCCCGGTCAGAGAGCGCCGCCATTTTGGGACGGTCAAGCGGAGGGGCGGGGCGGCAGCGGGCCGCCATTGCGGGGAGGGCGCGGAGGGGCGGGGCTGTGCTGCCGCCGCCATCTTGGGAAGGTCGGGAAAGGAGAGCGGGGCGGGCGTGAGGGGAAGGTGGAGAGTGACCGCGCTGAGGGGATGGTTTCGCGCTGCCAGGGGGCAAGTTTGGATGGGATATGGAGCATGGGGAAGGAATGCTGCTCATTTGCTCCTGGCACTTAGTCAGAGAAGCYATGGCTGCCCCATCCSTRGCASTGTCCCATGTTGGACGGGGCTTGRSGGAWSCTGAAGCAGTGTAAGGTGTCCCTGCCTGTGGTAGARGGATGGSCTAASRWYTCTTCCAACCCAAACAATTCCATGRTTCAGATTGCCCGTTTGCCCTGTGGAGGAGCCATGACCATATGTGTGCAGCAGGTAAAGCCTTGGAGCAGCAGCAGAGCCTCACAACACAGAGAAGAGTTTTGGTTTTCTTAAAACAATTTATTGTTTCAATTTTATATAAAAAACATGCAATCAACACTTGGCGGCTGCTGGTTTCCCAGCTCACATCAGATCCTTTTCCTATGTTAAAAAATACAAACCATAACGATAGCTATACACAGAGGTCAGGATTTCAGTAAAGCCCTTTGATTCTGGAAAGCGCCTTTCATTGACTGCACRCTAATTACAACTGGCACAACACCGGAGGAAATCAAACCATAATCTGGGATACGAAAAAAATAAAAATCTGCCTGCACATAGTCAAATAAATTCCTATTCTTGTGACAATGCATCTTTGGTGTTGATCAAGTGCTCCATCCCACTTGTCCATCACCAGGTTCATGATCGGAGCCTGGTGGGAGATTAGCTGTGTGGGGCTGGGAGCACGAGGTATTTTGGGAGAATATCAGATAAAAAACCCTTTTCCCCCCCATGGAAAGGGGAAGAAGGAGCTGATCCTGGCCAAAAAGTCCCACGCCCTGGAGCCAAGGAGGCCAGGAAACACCAGAYTACCCCAAAAACCCCCCACCCCAGTGAGCCTGAGCTTTTCTCAGTGCGGGAGACGTGGGCGCTGCGTCCAGGGGATGTTGGAGGGAGTTGAGCCACCCTGAGCAGAAACCACCGTGAGTCCGGASGGGTGAAACGAGGCGGGGGCAGCGGGCCGGGGGTCCCTAATCGTCCTCCTCGCCGCCGCCGTAGAGCTCGGCCAGCTTGCGGAAGCGGCTGCCCCAATCATTGAGGTAGTCGTAGTCCTGGTCGCCGTCAGAGGCCGAGGAGTTGAGGGAGCTGAGCGAGGTGGCCTCGGAGCCGCTGCCCTCGTAGTCGAACACCAGCAGCGAGTCGTAGGGAGGGGCCGTGGGGTCCGTGTCAGCCGCCTTCAGGTTCTGGGGGAGCAGAGGGATCAGTGGCTGTGTCCCCTGCGCTGGTGTGGCAGGGAGGTGTCATTCCCCRGCCCCAGCCTGGCTCAGGACTCACCTCATCGATGAAGTTTCCGATCTCGTCGGGGTTGGCRGGRCGGGGCCGGTACTGGGGGGCYGCCATCAGYGGYGGGGCCACGTCGTTGCGGATCACCTCGGGCCKGGCRTCCAGCCCCCGGTGCAGCTGGCTCAGGTCATAGTCCTGGGGGAAAAGAGGAGATGAGGCTCAAGTGACAATCACGGGCACCGCCACTGCCACTTGGCAGGCAGGGTCCAGCAGGCAGAGCCATCCCACCTGGTCCTCCTCGCCACCGCCCTCCTCGTCATAGTGGTAGACATTGTCCCTCATGTCATCCTCAGGTGGGAGCAGCGGCTCCTTCACCACCTTCCTTCTCCTTGCAAAGAGCAGCAGCAGCAGCAGGAGGACTGCAGGCACAAGGACGGGGCATCAGAGCAGCAGGGAAGGGGTGATCCACATTTCATCCCTCCCATCCTCGTCCCCAGGTACTCACTGAGCAGCGCCAGGATGCCCCCCAGGATGCCCAGGATGGCAGGCACGCCCATGCCACCAGAGATGAACGCTCGCCGCTCACAGTTCTTGGCTGGCCCCTCGCAGCTGCAGACCTGGGCTCGCACCGGCGTGATCTGCTCCTTGCCCTGCGCATCCAGCAGCTTCAGGAAGATGTTGTACTCGCCCGGCTCCAGCTCCTTCCTCATTTGCAGATGCACCAGGTCTTGGTGGACCACAGAAACATTTGGTTTGGAAAAGGCCTCCAAGATTATTGAGTCCAGCCATCCCCCAGCACTGCCAAGGGCACCACTGACCCATGGCCCCAAGTGCTACATCCACACAGCTCTTAAAGCCTCCAGGCATGAGGACTCCAACACCGCCCTGGGCAGCCTGTTCCAATGTCTGATCACCCTTTACATGAATGAATTTTCTCCAATATCCAACCTAAATCTCTCCTGGCATAGCTTGGGGCTGTGTCCCCCATCCTGTCCCTTGTTCCCTGGGAGCAGATCCTGACCCTCACCTGGCTGCACCCTCCTGCCAGGGAGTTGTGGAGAGCAAGAAAGTCCCTCCTGAGCCTTCCCAGCTCCCTCAGCCACTCCTGGTGCTCCAGCCCCTCTGCCAGCTCTGGTTTGGGAACACCCTTGGCACTGTCACAGGACTTTGCCTGTGCCCACAGCAGGGCCCAGCTACAGGGCAGGTGGCACCCACCTGGTGAAGTCACCCTGGCAGTCCAGTTGCTGCCAGAGCCATGCATCAGCTCTGCCCTGAAGGGGAAGGTGTTGGGTGGCAGGTCCTTGTCGATGATGTTCAGYGTCTGCTCCTCAGGCTGCCGGTTGCAGATGTCGAAGCTCCGGGGCTCTGGCACGGGCCCRTTGTCATTCACGTCCTGGAGCAGGAGGAGCAGCGTCCCCGTGCCGGTGCCATACTTTGGTGACCCTGTGGGACTGAGGGTCAGCCAGGCACCCAGGGAGGGGCCTGGACCCCATGGCAGGACACAGAGGTGGGCAGGGGGGCAGCAGCTGGGCACCCTCACCATTGTCCACAGCCAGGACGATGGCCTTGTAGGTGCTGTTGATGGCATGCGCMGACTCCCTGTCCAGCGGCTGGGCTGCCGTGACGATGCCGTTCTCAGGGTCGATGGCCAACCACCCTGCGGGGTCGCTACCCATGCGATACCTGGGGGCAGCCAGGGGTCAGCAGGGGGAGAGGAAGGGGCACACAGTGCAGCACAGCCCTTCAGACACCCCAGCAAAGCCCCCGCCACTCACGTGATTTTCTGGTTCTGCTCCTTGTCAGGGTCCTGTGCTGTGTAGGAGGTGATCTGGTATCCCACCGGCACATCCTCCATCACCTCCACCTTTTTGACTGTGGGTATGAAGACGGGGTCTTCATTCACATCCTTGACAAACACCTGGACGCTGGCCGTGGAAGGATTCAGCTTCACTGTGAAGGGGACCTCGTTCTCCACCGMCACCACAAGCTTGTACTGCTTCTGRGTCTCATAATCCAGGCCCTGGGGGTGGGAGAGAAGCCGGGTAGTGCCAGCAGGGAGTCAGCTGGTGCTGAGGTGGCCATGCAGCAGCAGGACCCACCTTGGCMGTTTTCAGGAGCCCATCATTGGTTTTGGGGTCAGTGGTGATCTCGAAGTTGCCSTGAGGGTCCCCGCTCTGGATGCGGTAGACGGCGCGCCAGGCCGGGGAGCCCGGCAGGTCCTGGTCCTTCACATGCAGCCGGGCCACCAGCAGCCCCGGCTCGTTCTCGTTCACTGACTCCTCGTACTGCAAGATGGGACAGGGACAGTCACCTGCATGGCCCCAGGCATCCCAGGTGGGGGTTTGTGCCATGATGCCCGGAGAGGGCAGCGCCTGGGGCTGGGTGGTACCGTGGTGGGGTCGAAGATGGGAGGGTTGTCATTGGCATCGGTGACTTGGATGATGGCGGTGGCGGTGTTGGTCAGGCCTATGCCCTCCTGGTCCGCAGCTTGGATTATCAGCGTGTAGTTGGGAGTGGTCTGCAGGGCAAAATCACCCCAGTTAGGGCTGGCGTGGGGGCTGGGGTTCTCCCCTCCTCTGGGCATCACCAGCCTGCTCCTCCACCCTTCTCCAGCCTCGCTGTTCATGCTGGCACAGAGGCAGCCAATGTCCCGGCTGCCCACCCGAGGGACTGGCACTGCACCAGCTCCAGGGCTCAAGCAGGGCTGGGGGTCCCTGCAGTGTCCCCAGCATAGCTCCTGGTAGGCTCGAGGCTGCAGACACCCCAGGGCTGCAACATCCCTTTCTCCCCATGGCACATCTCTCAATGGAGCTGCCGCAGGTTCCCCAGGATCATGGCAAGGTACTTACCTCCCGGTCCAGACCCGTGCCAATGACGCTGATGATGCCCTCCTCGGCGTTGATGGTGAACATCGGCTGTGCACCCTTGGGCTCCTCACTGAGGATGGARTAGTGGACGATGCCATTGTTCACGTTGATCCCATCGTCTGCATCCGTGGCGTTCACGGTCATCACAGATGTGCCTGGTCATGGGGACAAGCCAGGGAGGTTTTACTCATGGGACAGAATTCACYRGACACCCAGGCASTGCTCCTGCTCAGGGCTCTGCATGKTCCTGGCTCAGAGTCCCCCACGTACCTGGCTTGGCATTCTCCTCAATGTAGCCAACAAAGACTTGCTGGGTGAASACGGGCCGGTTGTCRTTCTGGTCRGTGACGGTGATGATGATCTCCATGGGATCCTCCACGGGCTGACCGTTGGCCGACACGGCGTGGGAGTAGAGCTGCGAGGGCACAGTCAGCCTGCACAGCCCCCAGGACCGTCCCCGTCCCACCACGGAACCCC